AGAGAGCCGTTACTTGAAGCATTGGCGGGGAATTGAATTATTTCCTTGTAGGCAGCCACCTCAATTGGAAAATCCAAATTCTTAATTAAAGTGAGATTAAATGTCAAATTTGAAGTTCAAAAATTTAAAATTCAAAATGTTTAATATCCTCGGTCAGCCCGAGTCCGACCCGAATCAAATCCGAGTTGAACCTGGGTTGATCCCTGACCCGCGTCCCGCTAACGTGCATCGATTTTCGTGTTAGTTGCTTGCGTGCGAAATCATAATGATATAGGTGTCCTTCCTAGCTAAAGTTGACGTTCCGGACGCGTCGGCGTGGTCCGTTTCGTCATCCTGGATCGTCCAGAAGAGTTCGCCGATGGGCGAGTCAAATCAAGTCAAAGTCATGTGTGGTGCAGTGAGTGCGTTGCTGAGTCGTCGAGGGTTCACCTAAGGTCGTACGATCCTGTAGGAACTTATTTTCGAGCCCTCTACATGCTAGTCCTTAGCCCTTGCAACTAGAAGTTGAGTGCTTGGAACCACTCATGCGTGTTCCTCACAAAAATGAGTCAAGAAGTGGTTTGAAGTTCTACGGGAGGGGGGCTTCATTACTAGTCCGCTAGGATGGTCAACAAAGAACTCCTAAGGCTAAGATATGGATTATGGGAGTAGGAGATTAAGACCTCACTAAAAATGAGGTCGACACAACTCGAATGCAATACATTTCGCTAATGAACAATTAGAGCACCTGCATAACTTATTTCATTCTCCAAAATTGTCACTGTCTCTGTCTTGCTCTTAAGTACAAAAGGTAACTCTCTAGCCACTGTTCTATTAGGTGTTAACCCTAATTTTATTTATTCTTGGATACTTGATTATTGAGCAATTGATTATATGATCAATTCTTCTAAATTATTCTCATTTATAGATCTTGTGCAGACAATAACAAACAATAACAATATTAAAATTGTCGATGGTTTATTCTCAGTAATTGTCGAGATAGTAACTGTTTAAGTAATACCATTGTTAACCATTTGTGGCGTGCTTTATGTTCCCAATTTTTCTTTTAATCTACAACATTACTTTTGATTATCTTTGCCAAGCTAATTTCTACTATTCTTGTTATGAGTTACATGAATTGGCCACTTCAGGATGATTGGCTGTGCTAAGGAAAATGATGGACGTTATTATTTTGATGATGGATTTGATGTGAATAGATAATGTCAAAGTACATATTTTAAATTCTAGTTTTGTTTCCAAAGATAATGACATTATTCTATGACATTATAGGTTATGTCATTTTAGTTTCCATTATTTAAAAATCTTTTTTTCTTAGTTTATTTCAAAATAAAAATTTGTCACTTTACAATGTGAAGTCTATCCATTTGCCAAACATCATGGTTCGTCTTTTACTCCCCCAATTTACAAACCAACTATATAATTTGCTCTTATTCATAGTGATAGTTGCGGTCTTTGTAAACATCTTACACACTCTAAAAAAGACACTTTTTTGCCTATGCTGATGATCACACAAGGTTAAGCTAGGTGTATTTAATAAAAGAAAATATTAAGTGAAAATAATTTTTAAAAATTTAACGCCATGCTACAAACACAAATTCAAAAAATTATTCAAATATTATGGAGTGATAATGAATATGAGAATTTCAAAAATATTTCGGGTCAATTTTTTTCTAAAAAAGAAAAGTTTATCAAAGCTCATATGTTGACATCTCACAACAAAATAGTATGGTTGAAAGAAAAAAAACAAACATTTATTAGAAGTAGCTAGTGTGACACATCGTTTCATATATTCGAGGGTTCTGAAGAGATGGAGAGGAAGTGAACAGGTCGAGAAACGAAAGGATACTTTTGTCTTATAAAGCAACGCAAATGAAGGGAGGCAGAGGCAATTGAAACATTGAGGGCTCTGTAGACTGACGAAGACGTAGTCGAGTAGAGGAGGCTCAACGAGGACGACGAAGTCGAAGGAGGCGCCAAGCGGGTCTTGTGCATGCGGGTAAGAGTCAAATCTCTTGTGTGGAAGGGGAATAGTAGTTTTTTTTTCATGTGGATTAGTGCTCGAGTGAGCTTTAAAGGTAAGTTTTAATAATTTTAATTTATTAATTTAACGATAAAATTATAAAAAGTAGAAGTGCACAAACTAATGGAGAGGTTAATTGATCCGAGCAAACTTTGATAAGGTTAAGTTTGAGTTTATATTATACCTTTAATTAATTTATTTAATGAGAATCCCATCCATCCATCATTGGTATCGAGGTTGTTAGATCGAAAGAAGGGATTGTAGGAAGTATGATTGAGTGGTTGTAGATCTGCAGAAACTTCAATTGATGCCAATCAGAAACCTAAATGGTATACCGAGTAAGGGTTTTCTCTTTCAGATGTGGTGGCAAGGAGTAGTGCTGAGGTAGAATATCGAGCTATGACTAATGGAGTATGTGAGATGTTATGGTTGAAGAGAATTCTTGAAGAGTTACGGATTTTGATAAACATGCCGATGAAGTTGTACTGTTACAATAAAGCTGTTATAAGCATAAAAAAAATTCAGTGCAACATAATTGCGCAAAATATGTGGAGATTGATATACACTTTATAAAAGAGAAGATTAATTTTGGAGCTATTTTCTTGCCTTTCACTATGACTGTAATAGGCAGTAAAATAATAATAATAATAATAATAATAATAATAATATTATTATTATTATTATTATTATTATTATTATTTTTTGCCTGCTCGCAACACCTACGAAGCGTGGCGTCGTTCTATGAATAATAGCGCCGCTTAAGCGAAGTTAATATGAGGATGTTCTTGTATCGTCACATTAGAAACCCACCATACAAGAAAGGAGCGATAGAGATGGAGAAAGAGAGATAGTGGGAGAGGAGGAGAATTCGTCGTCCCTTAGCCAATTTAGTAAAGAAATTGTAACAATAGTGAAGGAATGGAAAAAGAAGAAAGAACAAACCGATGAAGAAGAAGGAGAAGCAGTAGAGGAAGGAAGGAGAAGTTGATGGAGGCTTGATCGGCCTTACCCGAGCTAGAGAAGAGGAGGGAGAAGCATTCATGCTCTATATCTTTGATGGAGAGGAGAAGTGCGAGTTGTTACCTACCTCTTGTTCTGCATGTAGGCTTCAATCGAGAGATTGAGGAAGAAGAAGTTGTGGGAGCCTTCGATGTGCGTGAAGAGATCAATTGAACCCCCATATGTTCGGTTTGAAAGCATCAGGGTTGGGAAAAAGTTAATAAGGTAAGTGGAATTAAGTTATTTTATTTAATAATTTTAATGAAAATTCAACAAAATTTATAATTAATAATTGTTTAAGGTAAATTGATGTGAAGACTATTGAAATCAGAAAAAAAAGGAAATTTCAGGTATAAAGATCGATTTCAATTAATTGTTATTGCTCTAATTAATTAATGTTAAAATGAGCTAAATCACCTTAAATTTAAAACATAGTTAGAATTAAACTATTATTAACTTGAAATATGCCAAATTAAAATTTTAGAAGCTTTAATATAAAAAATAATTTGGATATTGCTACATATATACATATACATATTTAGATACATATATATATATATATATATATATATATCTGTGTGTGTGAGAGAGAGAGAGAGAGAGAGAGAGAGAGATAAATAGCTAATTGAATAAATAAATTATGAAAATAATGGTAGAAAATCTAGAATTAATATGTAAGAAGATTAGGCTGAACGAAAGCTTATTACATGTAAATTTTTATTATAAGTGCACCCAAAAGCCTAGACTATTTGAGGAAAGAAACAAAAAACTTCAATCGACGTTGTTAAAGTGGGTAAATGTGATTTATTTTACAATAGTTCTGTTTATTTATTGTTTCCCAGCTTTTAATGCAAAAAAAAAATATATTTTTTAAATGTTAAATGCAAGAAAATTGAATAAAATGTGATATTTGCATGCATATGAGAGTCACATCTGGATGATACTGACAGGGGAATGCAATGTACTCATGCACGAAACTGGAAATGAAAATGAAAATAGTGAAACACATTTTATTTAAAGTATACGTTTAGACGGTGACTTCTAATGATGAAAAGTGTAACATAAATGAATGAAATAAAATGAAAAGTTTTTTTTGTTGTTTTCTTTTATTGCACGATCATTTTTACTTTTTACTGTAATTTTTGCAAAATATTTTAAATTGTGAATTTGTGTAATTTAAAACCATTTACCCATTGGGTAATTTAACTCAACCCAAAAGTTGTTTACATTTTTTTCAGGAAAGCAAGTTATAGACTATATGAACCCTAAAGATTCTGTGTACAGTCGCTGAAGTGCGCGGGATGATAGGTATTATAGTTTTGCTTTTTTATGTTAAAGGCAAAAGTTTAAATATGAATCAAATATTGTAAAATTAAGTTTTATGAATTAAAATGACTCTTTCGTTTCGTACTTTGGTGGATTTTATTTGATTATAAAATGAAACTGTTAGATAGGTTTCTTCTGTCCGACTGTCAATTCCTGCCTCGGTAAATCCAAGTTCCTTGGCTGGGTCGTGACAATGGCAACTCAACAAATATTAAACATATTCTCCAAAAGACTTTTCAGGCCTAGTTTTGAGTTTCTTGTACGCAAGATGGGCATGATAAATATCTATGCTACATATTGAGGGCTGGGGTATCATAATATTAGGGATTTACTTTTATTTGTGATCTTCTATTTTTTATTTTTTATTTTTTATTTTTGGTAGTTTCTACTTTTGGAATTAGCTATTGTTGGTAATTTCAATTTCTTTTTTCTAGCATGAGGATTTTATGCCTTTCATAATATGGTGCCTTTCCTTGTGATTTATCTTGTAACCGAGTTTCAGGAAATTAAAGTGGAATAATTATTTTTTCTTTCCCAAAAACTACAATTTTTAATATCATCTCAATCAAGTTTCTTGAGTCTTGTTCACAATATTAATCTTAAGAGCCAATTCTTCTATGATTTTATTGGATTTTTTTTTTTTACATTATTTCAGTATATGCACTCTGGATGGTCCCCGAGCTATTACCTGCTTTTGTGCTCAAAGGAGGTGAAGTTTCACGTTTTGTTATTGGAGGTGCTGATTTGATGTTTCCTGGCATTAGCATACCTTCAGAGGGTTTTCCATCATTCCTAGCGGCCCAACCATGGGCGGTGAAAGTTCCTGGTAATGCAGCACCTATTGCAGTAAGTGATTTTTGCCTCTCAACATTCAAGTTGGAACATAAACTTATTTAAAAATGATAGTTTTCTTATTCCATTCATTAGGCTCTAACGGTTGTTTTGCTTGTGGAATTCATGATTTGGGCAGGTGGGGACTACCATGATGAGCAGCACGGAGGCCCTAAAAGCTGGTTTACGTGGCAAAGCATTGCGAGTCTTGCATTATTATCGTGACTCTTTGTGGTAAGTGCTATCAAATTAAGTAGAGGGCATTTAGTTGATTGTTAAGCAATTTTATTTGGTCTAAGCACTTATATCTTCAATGTTAGGGAATTGGCTGAAGGTTGCTATGTTCCAAATGGGGGATTCCTGGAGGATATTGTTATTGAAGATCCTGCTCTAAATGCAACTTCTCACACATCAGATGCTTTAGGAAATATTTTAAATGATGCACTTGATACTGTCTCAGATAATAATATGCAGCACCTTAATATTCCGTCCGTCCATCCTGAAGAGGACAACGATTCTCTACATGGTGATTCTAGGCGTGATGACTTTGGAGAAATGGCAGCTGATATAATCAGATTAAATGTGTCAGAAAGTGTTTCAGCTGAAGTACAAAATGAAGTAAAGGATCATTTGGCACAATCAAATGAAATAGATTCTCTACTGGATAAATGCCTTCTGCAGGCATTTCATATGACTGTCAAAGATAAAGATCTTCCATTGTCTGGAAGCATACTTTGGTAGTTGGCTTCCCCTTTCCTTATTATTCCCATTATATAGCCTTTTAAAGTGCTGTATTTGGAACATAGGAACTAAAGTAATAGATAAACTTACATGTACTGTGCAAACTTTCTTTTAGTCTCTTAAATGCTGAACGGTTAAAAGAGAGAATAAAGAAAATTGAGTGTTGGCTACCCTGCTGGCCCCCACTCTATTTAATCGTAGTTCCTGTAGAGCTTTTAATTTAGATTGTTTCATACTGTAATCTGAGCTTTTTAACTAATGATGTATCTGCTTGCTTGTTATAGATAGCCTGGTGCAGTAATTATTAATTAATTTTTTGTCATAATATGGGATGAAATGCTTGATTTCTCTTCATTGATTAAAATTTTCTGCTTCTATTCTTTATGTACATTTTTAGCTAAATTGGTTGAGATAATACTTGCATGAGTGCCTGCCAGAGATTTGTTTATGCATACACGCGAATTCTATGCTCAAGCCATGCCTTTGGAGATGTTTATTTGTTTGTTTATGGTTTGACATTCTTATGGCCTTTGAGTTTACACTCGCTTTTATACCCAACCAACCTGTCTCAATGCTGATCTTGGCATAAAGTTTTTCTTCTTTATTTTTTTTGGTTTCTGTGTAGGGGTGTGTTCTATCTGGTACTCCAGCGCATACACTCTTTTAATTTATCATGTTTTCTTATATGCTCAAGAGCAACATTATTCAGGTACTAGGTAATTTATTAGATGTACTATATTTGGTTCTTTGCTATCTTGCATAAAGGGTGTAACAGCCTTTAAAATTTGAGGTGACAATGTGCTGGGCATGTTTCCATGATATCTTGCATAAAGAGTGCAATGCCCTTCAAAAAATCAACTAGTATAATTTTTTGCTTTTGTGATTTCTTTGCCCTTTGATATCTTGATATTTAGATTTAACAAATAAACATCTCTCAGTCATCATTTAAGAATTTACAATCTAAACATTGTAGCACACGTAGAACCTTCTACTCGCCCACAGGCAGAGGTTAATATTGGAGTGCATGCGGGCCCAACCGTTCTATAAAAAGTATAGTTTTTTCTTAAAAAAAAATTAAAATATGCCCAACAAAATATCTTTTATATTTTTGTTTTAAAAAATATAAATCATAACAATTACAAACACATTTTCTAGAATCAGAAAATAAAAAACAAAAAAACACTAAACATAAAACATAAAACATAAAGCAAAACAAAAACAAAACATACTAAAAATAGAAAAGAAAACAAAAAGAAAACAGAACGTGATCCCAAATAGGCTTTTAGTAAACCAAACAACATACTGATACGCACAGGACTCCTCCCGTTGCCCCAGATATGCACGGGACTCCTCCCGTGTTGCGTGAACCGATCAAGGTTTGGACCGGCCAGAAGGAGCCAAACCAGCTGGCCCAACTCATATCTGGTCTGGGCGATCGCAGTGCCTGGTTAGGCCCCTCCAGATTGATGATAACGTATTGAAGAGAAGGGAATTAAGAGAGGGGGGAGGGGTGGCTTTTGGGGCGAATTTTGGAAGGACTATTGGGGAGTATGCATTAGCGTCGAAGGGATAAGGTTTATTTCTTTTATGAATGTTTTGTTGGCTATTGTTTTCTTTTTTTCCTATGGTATTTTTTAACAAAGTTTAGGGCTGTGGGAGAGACGATTTGCCTCTCGAACAGTAGATCATCATTATATCTGGCTACTTTTCCTTTAATTTTCATATGAGCAGCCCCCGTTTGAGTATCCCCACCTACCTATTGCAATTTCGTCCTTGTTTGCTCGCCGGTTTTGATTCCGGATTGTATCAACTACCATAGTAACATAATATAAGAAATTTCAACATACCAAACGATATGCAACATCCAAGGTTTTTCTAGTTTTCTTGGTAACTTAACTTGATAATCAAACATTTTTTTGCTAATTAGTGATTAGGATGTCTAATATAGATGACCTGCTTAACCATGATGGACTTTTCCATATCTTTTTTGTTAATGGTTGATATTACATCCAGAAAAAAAATGAAAACTGAGCATAGTAAATCTTTTTCTTTTTTTTTTTTTTGACATTGTTCCGGCGAACAAGTTCGGCGAACAAGTTCTGAGTTCTTTTGGCGGTGATTGGCTAAATACTCTCTTTCAGTAAATGTTATTTTGTTCATAAAGTTTCTTTAGGAATAAACTATCTTTTAATTTTGTAGTATTACTATTATTTTGTTGACTTTGTTATCTTTTTTTGGATAAAAGTAAGCATCCTTTATCTTACTGCCAATAAGCAGCATCAGCGCTTTGAGTTAGTTTTTCTTTGGCTTTTATGTTTTTGTGGTTTTGCTTCCGTGAGATGGAGATAGTGACCTTTCTACTTGTGGTATCCTTATCATTATTTTCAGGCATAATTTAAATGTTCTTCGTGCCTGTTAACCATGGCATTTTCATGAAGTTTTGAGGTATTTTAATGCATAAGCTTTTACTAAATCAGCAATATGTGCTGATAAAGTATCATTAAGCACAAGTAATTGGGGATTTACTTCTCAATTTATGCAATTATTTTAATCATAATGAGAAGAATGCAAAAGAAATTTTGTTTGACATGATACAGTCCTACTTGCACCCTTCTTGTGGTTGAACTATGCGTTTGTCTTTAATAACATTTATCTATTAATTGTTGAAGTGCTTTTCTATGTTTTTTGTTTCTAGGTCAAACCATGTATTGGCTTGCAGGCCAGCAGGCATCACTTTGGACATTAAAAGATCTTCTCATAAGAAGCTTTCAAAATGGTTGCAATCAAAGTCTTCTGCTGGGTTGGTAATTAATTAACACTTGATCCTCTTCAAGTTCAGCTTTTGGAAGCTTTAATTTTTTTTGTTTGTTTCCATGCTTGTGGAAATAGAAAGAGAAAACGATGAAAAAATTCAGAAAAAATTAATCAGAGAACCAATTTTATAAGTATTAGGACTGATATTGTTGAAACGTCATTCGACTAGTCAATTGTTTCAAACTTGTAAACTACGCGAGCAATTGTTTTCCATTGCCCTGAATTGATGATATCGCAACCATGGTTGTGCTGCAAGTTAACTCTAGGAATAACTGCAGCAAGTAATGTAGCCAACTTTTATATTGTTAACGATAATGTCTTATGCGCCTCTTTAAACTGAAATTTCTGATATGGAATCATGAAAAAAATCTGCAGCTTTTTTGCTGTCAAGATGCATTCATTTGTTAATTTTTTGCCTGATCTTTAAATGGTAGATGAGCATATCTGCTGCATGCCCGAACTTCTGAGTTATGCTAGTCCAGGAAGTACATTACATTTGCCAAAATTTACTCAACATTGTTTAAGGTCGGTTTTCATTCTTTCTGACCAAATCTTTTTGGATCTTACTGCTTTGTGGCAACCATTTTTGCTCCATGGATTATTCTGTTTTGAAGGTTCTTAAATTATTATTCTGTTATTCTACTTTGATCTTTTGTTTCAAGCTGTTGTTTTTTTTCTGTTGGAAATTTACATACGTGCCACACAATTCTTATGTATTCACATGACTAACACCTAATGTTTAATATTTACTTTTATAGCACTTGAGTGTCATAATTTCTAAAAGTTAGCAATAGTAGTATTTTTGATGCAAGATTAAATATTTAGGTGTTACATATGTAAATATCTCATAATTATGTGGTATCAAAGTGAATTACCCCTTTTTTTCTGTTGGAATTTATACTAGTTTATTGCTGAGGAGTGCTTGTGGACATTTTGCATTAGAAACCATCTAGAAGCTTCCATTTTTTGAGAAATACTTCATTTAGAAGGGAGAATAGCTTTTAAAAACTGTTTTAGCAATACATAACCCCAAGGATGTAATATTTAAGCACTATTGGTAATTGATCTGATTATTTATGCTTCCCATGAAAGCTTTGGACCATGGTGTTGGAATTTGGCTTTTTGTTTGAATATTTATAAATGTTGTAAAGGTTTATTTTGGGGGTTGTGACATCCATATTTGGATAATTTAATGAATCACTATAAAAAGTACTTAGAAATTTTTGAATGAGAGTTCTAAGTATTTTTTATTCCAAAAGGTATATGAACAAAATTAAGATGGTTTAATATAATTTGATAATAAAAAAGTGAAATTAGCTATGAAAAAGATGCATAGAAATTAAAATTTGGATATACATGGGATACTCAGTTATGAATAATACTCGATTTGTTTAGTTAATAATATTTTAATGAGATTTGGAAGATTAAGAGGATGCTGGATGCTTCTTTGAAGACAGAAGGATACCAAATAAATGTAGAAAAACATTTTGTTATTAGTATTTTAAAACAATGGAGTTTTTCATGATGGTGATAATATAGAAAAATTTAATTTAATATAAAACAATTAGAAAAAGGATTCATGTAGCTGACTCCACTTAATGGGACAAAAGCTTGTTTTTGTATAATAAAGTTGCAAGATAGAATACTACAACAACAACAAAACCTTTATCCCACTAAGTGGGGTCGGCTACATGAATCCTTTTTCTCTATTGCGTCCTTTTTAGTGTCATATTTTCATTTAAATCTAATGAATTAAGATAATTTTTATACGATATGCCAAACCTTCCTTGGTTTACCTCTGCCTTTATTAACATAAGTCGAATCTAAAACATCTACTCTTCTAATCGGATCATCAGATGACCGACGTTTAATGTGAGCAAACTATCTACGATGTCTCTCTCTAATTATTCTAAATTTATTTAGAATAATCATATTTATGTTGAAAAATCATGTTTTTCTTGCTAAGAAGATTCAACATAACATAATTGTGTTAAGAAAATTAGATGAAATATATATTAGAGCAAGAAATTGATTGTTAGCTAGCATTTATTATTTTGAGAAAATTTATAATTAATTATATATGATTGTGCGTTTATTAGTATTAATAGTATTAATAGAAGTGTATCAGTGACCAATGAGGTTACGATTTTACATCATATATCAACATTAAATTGATATCTCATCTTTTTGTATTGGTTATATTGATGCTTATAAATAATTTTTAAAGTGAGATGCCTCAATATATATTTTTTATTTTTGAAGGTTTTAATTGGTGAGACATCTATTGAAATTAATGAAACTTTTGAATAATGGAGAAATTATACAGAAGATAAAGAGATTAGGATCTATAAATTAAGAAGCAATATATAATATGTAATTGTAATTTGTGTGATATTTCTAGTTATCAATGAGAATTGTTGAATACTAAGTAATTCATAGGTGTGAATTTTTGTATCATGGTCTTATAGTATAGAAGATATGAATATAAATGAATATATGACTTATAGAATTAAGTGCAAGCTGTGAAAATAAAATGACAAACTGTCTTAGTAGTATTGTTAAAAATTGTATGGAGTTTGTAAAATTGCAATTAGGTTACTCATTGTATGTTTTTGAATATTGGCTAAGATAATTATTGAAATGTAAGTTGAGCTTGACCAAGAAGAGAATTTTAAGATGGATATGGGATAGCAAGGGAGGGGTTGATAGAGAATTTAGTGGCTTTTTCATGTATTATTCGAATATTAAACTGCTTGTGATAAAAATAGAATAGCAGATATCTGATTTCTACCTACTACTTTCTGTTCCCATCTTGATTAACTCTAAGCCCCATGTCGGGTCGTGACAAAAATAATAGATACTTGAGTTGGTTTCTCAATTTAGTTCGAAGGAACCTTTAAATAAGATATATATCCTTGACACAATCATTATATCAAAGATTACATAGCCACACGTAATGGTAAAAATTTCATTATGCGTTGACTTTCTAACTCCTGCTATCTCCTCAAGCTCAAAAGTAAAAAATGGGGTCCACAAAATGATTGAATAATTTTAAGGTCCTCAGGAAAAGTTTGTCTGACACTAAAAATTAATTTTGACTCAGATGACACCATCAAGTGTCAGAACCTACAATGAAGTTGTCCTCACTAACAATTCTGTCCCTGAGGAGGCTCCACAAGGTATGAAAGACTGCGCTTATGAGTGGAAGTGGGAATCACTATATGACTAAGAGATAATACCCTGGTACTTGCTTTGTTGGATGGCATCGTTGCATCTGGCATAATCTTATCATTGTTCACTCTACCTGATCAAAAAACAAATTAAGTATCATGGCCTACCCTCTGTGCTCAGTAATGCTTTGATGAGAATATCAACAATTTGAAGTTTTGTTGGAACATAAATTGGTTGGATAATTTCGTTTATAGTTTTCTTTAAGATGAATTGTTTGCCAATCTCGATGTAATTTACTCCATCTTGGTGCAAAAGTTTTTTTGGCTATTCTAATAGCATCTTGATTATCACCAAACATCTTAATTGTCCTTTGTCTCAACTTTAAGTTCTCTTAATAGCCTTTCAAGTACATTCCCTCACATTCCTAGTGCAAGAACACGATATTCATATTTTACGTTACTCTAAGGGACGATAGAGCAAAAACCTCCTATGTCTTTTTAGCTATCCTATAGAGCACAAAGTTTTCTCCAACCTTTATTGTGATGGTATTTTTTAACCATGGCATAATCACAAGCTCATGATTTTTCTTGGGCCGGTTTTTGGAATCTATCACTTTTGGAGCTGAGATTTCTCTTGTGAGATGTCCATTCTTTCTTTTACTACAAACGTACATGAAGACGAGCTGTGATCATTGAAAAAATTTAGGATCTTGAAATCTATTATTCGTGATACGCTGTCAAGGGCTATCAATTACGATAGTGATTGATGATATAAGCTCAGATCTATAAGTGACTTCAGAGGAATAAAATTGCGAGGCTATGTCATATCCGGTCATGATACGAGCATGAAGTCGAACAAAATTTGGTTTTTTGTTTCTGGGGAACCCGAATAAAGAGAAAGGACTTGTTACTCGAACAAAAATGGAGGAAGATGCTTCCTCCACAACTTTAGCGAATAGGAGAGGAGGTTAAGCCAAACTGATTGCATTCAAATAGAAGGCAAATGATCTATCCCAATTGAAGGAGGTTGCGACCGCTTGCGGGTGACGAGTAATGGTGTTGATCCAATAAACCAAGCACAATTTAAGTTGTGTTGGGTTGAATGTTGAAGGAGTAAGTGCTCGAGAGGTGCACCCAATTCGAGAGAGTTTCACGTGTGGAAAGAGGTGATTTTTCGATGATGGGAACACGAGGACTATGGGAGATGTCTTGGCCAATACCAAGAGAGGAGGAACCTTGTGTCATGTGGGCTGAGAGACACAATCAATGATGTTTTGTGCGCCTTGAGTGGATGTGGCGAGCTCGAATGTTTCTTGCAAAAACAAAGACTTCAGTTGGAGAGCGACGAAGGTTGCGCTCAAGAGAAACCGAGAAAGCGAATGAAGGAGGCTCCACAATCTTCTAAGGTGCTAGAGGACGTTGTCTCTGATACCTTAAAGAGATATGTGGAAAGGTTTTCTATTCCACACAATAATGAGTTACGCCTTAGTATATGTAATAGAGTAAGTGACATTCCAATCCATAAAATAGGGAAACAAAATCCCACAAAAATAGAAAATATCTAAGAAAGGAAATTAAATAAAAATTGAAATATATTCTAGTAAAGGAATTAACTTCATAGTTGACTACTTCATACTTTGAGGGTTATCTTTGTTATAAGAGGGAGAGACGAGAATGAGTTGTGATTTTTAGGACGAATAAGAGATGTGAGTGAGAGGGGATGCAAGCTCAAATAGAGGAACGGAGGGTGCATTATGAAGGCGGAGTTGGCTATGAGAGGTGAGGCCAGAATATTTTTTTTTATATTGTCTTTCAACAAAGTGGGATGAGTCGCAAGGAAACGATTTCATGTCTGGTATGGGTGAGAAGCGAATTTTGGGTTGCTACAACTATAGAATAAAACTTACGGAAATTACATGCATAGCACCCAATTCTTATACATTTACTTATCTCACACCCAAACTTTAATTTTTACAAGTTAAACACCTTTTTTCTATGTTTGAAAAGATGTATGAAAAAGTAGATTACACTTTTCCATATGTAGGGTGCTTTGGATGTAAAAATCCAAGTTTAGGCATGAGATAAGTAAATACATAAGAATTGGGTGCATATATGTGAATTCTCATAAAATTTATTAATAATAATAGTAATTATATATATAT